GTAAAAAATATATGCTATGGAATAGTACACAGCTGTAAAAAAGGAATGAAATCATGTTATTTGCAACAACATAGATGCAGCTGGAGGCCATAATTTTAAGCAAACTGACATAGGAATAGAAAACAAAATACCTCACATTCTCACTTATAAGTGGGAGCTAAACATTGGGTACACATGGACACAAAGAACGGAATAATAGACACCAGGACCTACTTGAGGTTGGAGGGCAAAAAGAGGGCGAGAATCAGAAAACTACCTATTGAGTATTAGGCTCACTACCTGGGTAATGAAATAATTTGTACACCAAACCACAGCAACATATAGTTTACTCATGTTACAAAACTGCACATGTACCCCCGAGCCTAAAATGAAAGTTGGAAGGAAAAAAGCATAATTCTCTCATGCAAAAATAATTAATAAATAAAGGACGCTAAGGAGATAGGTGATTGCAGTTGGCTAAGCCTCTGAGCATTGCTCCATGTTCCATCCTACCTGGACTAAAAGTTAGAAAGTCATCATTATCATTTAGGGTCAAAAAAAGAAGAGTGGAAAAGCAATGGACCTCCTTTTCTACTAAAGTGGCTCAAAGCTGTTGGAAGAAGTTGAATCAAGGTTGATATAAATATAAAAACACCTTTAACAGAAAAAAATGTCACACAATAAACCTCAAACAAAGAGTTAATGGACTGGTAAAGTGTTCAGAATGGCTAGATGATAATGACATGAGTGTGAAAATGAGAAAAAAATAAAAAATAGATTGCTTGCTGAATCTCCTCCAGAAAGTGAAAAACATGCTTCTCTAAATCTGTGACAAATATCTGGGTCCTTAAAGGAATCAAATATTTTGTAAATAGCCTACAGGACACAAGACGGTAGCTCTTCCTAAATGAAACACTTGAGCACAGTAAGCTCTTGAAATATCTGGGTTGGCTGAACATCGGTAAACACAGTATGTTGATTGTAATCGCTGGGTTGCAGCGATTTATAAGAAATGATTCCAAAAATTGATTTTGGACTCATCACAAAGCTCAAGAGCAGGACTTCAGTATGTGGCTCATTCTGCCAGAAATCCCCAGCAGAACTTGGAATAACATTGAGCTGTATTAAAATGATAGCATATTACTTTGTTTGATTAAAATTTAAACAAATTGTAATGAACAGATACAACAGCTCTTTTAGACTTTATATTGACCACATTTAAAGATCAAACAGCTCAGCAGGAGTACATGACTCACAAGCATTCTCAAAATTAGTATTTTGACTAAGGTCTTTTAAACTAATATTTATAGAATATTTATGTAACTGGGGCAACTTAATATTCTAAACAATGACAATTCCTCAAAGCATTGCTCTAAAAGGAGGAAAGTATAGTATAGACACTATTAGAATTTCATGACTGGCCGATACAAGTCAAATTTTGATGTAAAAATCTTATGATCCCTTAAAGAAAGACTAATGACTAATTAATAAGCCTATGAGGGGCATAACCAAGCTCCATGCACATGCCAGTTTTTGATGATTATTGTCAGAAGCAGCATTAATTACCTTTTAAAGCACAGAAATACAACTGGCAGACCCAAATAGAAGATAGTCCCCGACTTGCTAGCCCAGTGCCCATCACCTCTGTATTACCTAGAATCACATCCACTTTGGGGTCAGTTGGGAATATGTGTAATCCAGAAAATCAGGTATATATCCTGAGTCAGAATAAAGCTCCTTGATGTTACATTGCAATGTCTTTTCCAAAAGATATTCCAAACATCTTTTGCTACATTACAGATGCCCTGATATGCTGCCCAGCCACTGAGAGGGCTGCCAGAAAGTCCTCAGATAACAGCTCCCTTTGGGACCTCTGGTTGAAGAGAACTGCTTTGCCCAAGCTTACAACATTTTCCTAGGACAGCCAGCACACAGTGACTGAACATTGTGCACATATTAAGGCCCAGACTGTTAAGCCCAGCTGCAAATGTTCACTCCAGTTTCAGAATGCCTGGGGCTTCACTGGAGATGACTGAATCCCAACTTAACTTCTCATACTGTCCAGCTTTCTCCTGTAGTAGCTTCTCCAACAGGTGTTGACCCAAAGAGCACTCTCTAATACACCTTTGGCATGTTAGTCACATCGTTGTCTGCTCCCCAGAAAACCAAAAGCGTAAGGATTAGTAATCAAGGAACCTAACTTGTAGCAATTAGTAATCAAAGTTCTCCTTGAACAACTGTGTTTATGGAGAACTAGGAACCATGGTAATAGAAGTAAGGCTCAGGGTTCTGGAACCACGCTGTGATGCAAAGTGCAGGATTGATACAGAATGACCTTAAATTCTCACTGCCTAAAGATTGAGCTGTCTGGGATGGCCCCAACCACCTTGTCCCTGCAGAAGGTATTGTATTACCTATTTGGTGGTGGGGATGTAGGGATGCGGGGGGCGGGGGGGGGAGTGTTTCATACCCTAAGGCCCCAAATTCTCCAGAGGTCGAGAAGCAGGTAATCCTAGACAAATGCTATAAACAAACAGCTGAAATCCCAAACCAGATGGCCTAGCACCAAATTGGATTGCTTATTTCCCCTGACAAGGCCACTTTCTCATACCTACCCTAGAAAAGGCAGGACAGCAGAGATCTCCCTCCCCCACAATCTCCCACATGTCCAAAGAACACTTGGACTCTGTAAGTCTCTCTGGGGGTGCATGGGAGGAAGGAAGTGTGCGACTTTTCTTCCCTCATTGATGCTGGCTGTATGTGGCTTTTCCTTTCTCTAATGAAGTCTGCCAGTGATGTTTTAATTTATCTTGAATTTCTGTGGCTAACAAATTGACACCTTTATAGGACCCTCCTTGCACAAAGTGCTCACCATAAAGGAATGAACTCTGCTTAGTACCACTTATGGCTTTTTCGAGACATCAGAGATGTTCGTGGCTACCTGGAGAGGGAGGCAACCCTTGCAATGAAAAAAGTTGCAAGGAGAGCCAGTGGTGGATTGACCAGGGCATCTGAATATCTCAAAACCAGAGAGCAGGTGGCCTGAAGTGAGAAGTTATAAGTAGCTGGGCAGAGTTGACCAGCCAATGTGGGCAAGAGCAGAATTGTCTCAGTAACCCTGAGTGCTTCTTCAACATGGTCAAGTCAACAAGCTAAATTGGGATGGCGGAACTACTATCCTTGATGAAGGAACTGTACCCCAGCTAAGCTTCCTAGGGACCATGGGTTTCTTCTCCATGACAGGAGGGCTATTCCTTAACCAAAACCATAGGACATTGTGAAAATCATCTTGGACCCTGGCATACGACAAGTGGAGGCCCAAATGGGACCCAAGTTTCCCCTTCAAAGGTCCTCTAGTATTTCCCACAAGAATGGCTTTTATTTATGTATGACATTATCTTTTAAAACACATTCACATGCATTAATTCAGTAAGACCTCAGTACGTTCACATCAACCTACTGAACTTTTTGAGGACATATTATGTAATCCATACATTTTTAGGAAGAAAAATTGGAACATAGGGTTGGATTTTCCTTACTGATTTAGGAAAAAATTTTATAAAGGGCTAGAACTTGTATCACAGCTACTTGCACATATAATGAATTATCTTTTTTTAAAAAAGATAAGATTACACGCAGCTTGTACAGACATTCCTGGAAATATGGTCAGCATAATTTAAGCACAATATAAACCTTGAAGCTTACTTTAAAACTTCCTTTGATAAAAGCTTTAAGGAGAAAGAGATCAGATGTTCAGATGCTTAGATGAGAGGAGGTTGGAGAAAAAGAGTTAGAGCTAAGAGGAAGCAACTGATGGAAAAGAACACAGAAGTCTACAATTGGGCTTTTAAGGCAAGGCAGGATGCTCTATGTAGTCTGCATATTCAAAAGCAATTTTACAAATGCCCCCCAAATACACTGCATGATGTAGCCACCCAGGACAATCTGGCATCCCTGGAACAGTGTGGACTTGCTGTTCCTCTTCTGAAATGCCTGCTCTACTTCTCCTCCTCTGGGAAATAGGGTACCATTTCAATAAAATCAGATCCACTCACTACATACATGTTTATCACAGGCCCGCTAGGTGCCAGATATTTGCTGAGGGCCAAATACAAATAAGCCATAATTTAAGAAACAGACCCACCAGTTACCACAGTGGAGTGTAATGGAGGATTGAAACGGGTCCTAGTCTTGCACTCTGAAGAGCATGAGTAATGACTACTTGATCTGAGAATGTCATGTTTTGCTATATACATAGCTGTATATAACTGCCATCTGGGGGGGAGAGTCATTCCATCGAGTTAATCTGCCTATAAAATTAATAGGGGACATGAATTTTATCTATGCTGATTCAAAATGTCCCCAAAATATGCCCTTAATTTGGTACTGTAATAATGTGTCACCAGAAGGCTAAGCAGCATTGCCTTTCTGAGTTACTTCTCATAGAATCCCAGATCCTTAGAAAGTAGAAAGAACCCTAGAGACTAACCACTCTAACCCTGTAGCCCAAAAACCTCTTCCCCAAATCCTGATAACTGGTCATACAAACAGGAGGCAGTTTCATCTGCTTCCTTTGTTTGCACCAAAGTGATCCACTTAAGCACAAGCTCTGCAGCACTTTACACTCTTGGAAGTTGTGATCTGCAGGGTGCATTTCTGGGGCACAAAAATGCTTCTGAAAGCCCCATGCCACCTCTACATATGACATGCTCATAAAGCAGATGTTTCCTAGTTTTAATTTTTGTGAACTCTCTGGTGGATTAAGCCAAACATCTTGGAGCTTTATTCATTATTGCTACAGTGGATAATTTGTGCCTGTGGTAACAGTAATTTGGAGTTATTAATGAAAATGAGAGATAATCTTAAAAAGCATCTAAAGCTCAGGCTGAGGTACAAGCACAGAGTACTCAGATGAATGTTATCCAAGTTTCCTTTTTTCATTCCAAAGGATAAACATTACTTTGGTTGCAATAATTTTTTTTAAAGTATGTTGTCACACGTTATGCATTCATTGAACGTACCTGCAACCCTTCAATAGCCAGTTTAAGGATGGAAGGAGTCAGCTTGGAGGCTTGTTTGAAGGAAAAATTACTCCAGTCTATAATTAAAATGAAGCCATTTATCTGAAGCTCTGGATCTTCAATTAGGACTTCCAGTGACAGCAGGATGGCACGAAGGATGTCTGTGAAGGAGTTCCTGTGGCCAGAGCAGAAAGGAGAACTGTGTGTGAATATTAGCAGGTGATAGCACATTGCGTGCAACAGTGCTGACCTCCACATGCCACTGCTCCATGAACCCAGCTTGCACGGTCACTTTGGCCTCCTGTACCCAAAGGGACTGAAAATACATTTGCTAAACTTCATAACCATAATGCTTCAAGACTTGCAGGTTGGACACCTCTTTTGGATCTGCACCTCAAACTTAATGTCACGCTACCGTGTTCTTATGGTTTTCCATACTATGCTTCCACCACAGCCCCGATTGCATTTTGCTGAAATAAATCCCTTACCCATCTGTCTCACTCACAGATCTCTGATGTCCTTTAGGGTAGGGATTGGGCCATAATCATAGCTGTTTCTGCAGTACAATGAAGCATTGCTGAACAAATGAGGTGAGACCTCAATCAGAGGTGTTTATTTTGATGAAATCTCTCTTCTTTGTATTTTAAAAATCTTGTTAAGAGTGAAAAACATTAATGCAATTGATGCAATTTTTTTAGCTTCAATTCATGAATAGAGAAAAATAAAACAGGAAGAATAGCTTATTTTCTGTGAAGGTCTACAGAGTGTGATTTGGGAGGGAAATTGCATTGAGTACATCAGTAACTATGACAACAGGCAGACCTGAATACAAACTACAGTGACAGCTCTCCAGTGCTCTGTGTATTCCTCCACATCATATATTCCCATTCACCAGGTGATTTTTGTTTTAAGTAAATTTCAGACATGAAGAAGTGATGGCAAATTCACTCTATTTCACTCAGTAAATTATCTGAGCTAAAAATCTAAGATCTTAGAGGATCTCTAGATTCAGTGTTTTTCTCGGTGAGCAGGAAAATATGAGCTTGGATGGCAAGTGATGGCAAAATCTGCTACTCCCTTCATTTTCCTTAAAATCAGAAGCCAAGTTCTCTTGTGAAATCAGTGTGAAACAATCAGATTCTTGAGCAGTCCAATCTGGTTCAAATGCCAATGACTCCGCATTAGAAATCAGGAAATCTGTAATAAAAATATAAGACAGGGCTGGGCATAGTGACTCACGCCTATAATCCCAGCAGTTTTGTGAGGCTGAGGCAGTTGTATCACCTGAGGTCAGGAGTTTGAGACCAGCCTGGCCAACTTGGCAAAACCTCATCTTTACTAAAAATACAAAAATTAGCTGGGTGTGGTGGCAGGTGCCTGTAATCCCAGCTACTCTGGAGGCTGAGACAGGAGACTTGCTTGAATCCAGGAGGTGGAAGTTGCAGTGAGCCAAGATGGCACCAGCCTGGGAGTCACAGCGAGACTCTGTCTAAACAAACAAACAAAAAACAACAAAAAAAAGTAAGCCAGTTAGAATATATTGAATGCCTGGTATAAACTCAGTGTTGTGCCTCATGCTTAAAGTTATAAATTAGAATGTCCTATTTCTACTTTCAAAACACTCTTAATTTAATTGGAGTGGGGTGGGAGATTAGCAACATGAGTTGGAAGGGATCAATAAAATTGGAGTAATCAGGGAAGAGTTTATAGAGAGGCTTGGGATAATCTTGAAAAATGGATAGGAATTTTATGGATAATTGGGAAAAGGGGGGAGCAAGGCTTTTTCAGGAGAGAGAAGTGACACAGATAAAAAATAAGGATATTAGCCCATTCTGTTTCTGTATAGTCCTTCTTACTAAAAATTATTTCTTTATATTAAGCCATAATTTTCCTCCTTCAAATCCACCCAGGGGGTGTAGTTCTGCTATATATAAAAAAAACCCTCAAGTCTCCACACACCACACACTTTCAACTATCTAAGCATGATGGTCACGATACCATACATAATCTCTAGATTTAAAAAATTTTGTAACTTGAACCATTTCTCATGGGAAATGGTTCCTAATACTCTTTTTGTCATGATGGTTTCCTTTCAGATATAGTCCCTTTTCATTTTTAGGGATTTCCTATTCCTGATGTTGTAGAACAGGTTTTCATTGGGAGTTTGTATGCTTTTGTTTTTCCTTTCACATAAAAGAATTATCCAAAAACCCAAGTCTTTTTCATAGATACAGCTTTGTATTGGAAAGAAACATTGATTTAAGAGAAACAAGGGAGTAATGAGTTTAGGCAATCTCAAATGGAAATGCCCAATTGGTAAACCGGAAATGATCATTAGGGCATCAGTGAGTCTGAGCCTAGATAAGCTTTCTTAGGAAGGGCATAAACACAGAGAAAATCAGGATGGAAAGGCTAAGTCTAAGGTAAAGCCTACATATAGTACTGCAGTTGAAGGAAGAAGAATTTAATAAAAGGGAGAGGATCAAGGTTGTGTTAAAAAAGAAGAAGAGAATATTTAAAGAAACAAGAATATGATAGATTGCATCACTGTGTTAATGACACCAATTCTTCATTTATCCCTGCATCCACACACTAGCTATAGCCTCATTGAGGATACAGCATATTTTTTGTCTGTTGTTCATGTGACTTGATTTGACAGTAAACATCATCAGTAACTTTAACCACTGGCACCATGATAGGACGCCAATTCCAAGCCTAACTCTTAAGAGAACCTCAGATGTTACTACTGTTTTCTTGCCCTTCTGCCATTGCCATAGTAAAAATATGCCACAGCCAACATACTGGACTGTGGAGAAGGGGGAAACATAACAGACCAGCGACTCCCCAGCCAACTAGCAGGTCTTCATTAGAAGTAGCGCCACCTAGGTGAACCTAGCCTAAACTGCAGCCGCCCACAGATGCATAAGCAGCAATAAATGATTGCTTTCTTAAGCCACAGAGTTTTGAGATGGTTTGTTACATAGCAATAGGTATCCAATACCAAATGGTAGCTAATAAAGTCTAACGCAAAAGAAAGATCAAGGAGAATAAGGAAGGAGAAAGGACCATTGCATTTGACAACAAGTACTCTTTGGAAAGTTTTGGGAGAGCACTTTTAGTTGAATGGTGAAGTTAGAAATAATTAATTTTGAAGATTTTAAGCAAATTACTTAATCTCTATCTCATTTTACTCCTTTAACTACAAGCTGGCAAGTCTTTTCATCATATGTCGACACATATCTACTCCAAGAGAAAATACTGAGCTCTGCCTGGAAACCATTCTATGCATTTTGAGGAGCAGAACCTTACTGCAGGACAGGCACTCGCAGTGAAGGAAATATTATATTCATGGGATGATCCCAGGAGAAAGTAAAAGGATTATAGGCTTCATTACAGTTTCCAAATGTTTGAATGTTTTACTTTTCCAGCGGAATTGGGCAGGCAGGAGAAAGTTGAACGGACTGTGTCTCGAGTCATGAAGCTTTTCCAGTGTAGGGGAGTGTGAGCCTACCTCTTACCTTAGCTGCAGTCATTACCTTGATTTCCCTAGTTTTTGACTTCCTTGTATGAATTTCCTCATTTTTTTTCCTCTTCACTTTTTACAACACCCTTTGACTTCTGGACTCCTAGCTTTTTAAAATTAAAAATGGCTGTCAGACCAAATAATTTATGTAGCTACTCCACCCTCAAAAACATGGAGCATAACTCCCTACTCCATAAGAGGACTGAGCATCATGGCTTCCTTCAAAGAGTACGGTATAGAAAGAGGAAGAAGAGTTACTCTACAGTGGAGAAACCTGGCAAATGCTACCTCAGCCAGGTGATACATCTCAACCTCGCCAGTGATAAATCATGTTGATCGTATTTATTCTTCCTATGGTGATGAAAATGGCACTTGACCTCTATGGTCTTCCTCCCAAATAAATATAACCCAAGGGTAGTCATAAGAAAAACATAAGACAAATTCCAGTTGAGGGATATTCTACAAAATACCTGACTGGTACTGCTCAAAATTATCAAGTTTATCAAAAAACAATGAAAGTCTGAGAAACTGTCACAGCCAAGCAGAACCTAAAGAAACATAAAGACTAAAGGTAATGTAGGATCTTGGGTAGCATCCTGGGACAGAAAAAGGACATTAGGTAAAAACCAAAAGAATCCAAATGAAGTATGGACATTAATGAAAAATGTATTAATATTGGTTCATTAGTCATAACAGAAATACTGTCCTAATGTGAGGGAAATTAGAAGGCAGGGCGTAGGGTAAGTCTCCGTGCTGTTTTCACAGTAATTGTGTAAATCTAAATACGTTGTAGATAAAAAGTTTATTTTAAAAAATAAGTGACTACTAGAGTTTATAATCTGCCAAAATAAATCTTCGTGAATATTCTAAAGAGGATTCTAAGCAAACCAAAATGGTCAAAAGCAGTTCAGCTACTTTATGCAAATTGTGGAAATGAGAACAGAAGACATTTCCAGAGTTTCTTCATTCTACCAACTCATGTAGATTTATATATGGTTTAACTCAAAACCTCAGGAGGAAAATTTTTTTGATTTACTTTATTGCCTGCAATCACAATTCTATCAGAATATTTTAGCACTTGTATCAAAATGAACTAACAGATGACAAATAGATATTTACATTTCTTCCACCCTTTTTTAAATTTGCATAATATTTATATAGTCAGTTATGGATATTAGTTTTGGATTAATTATAAGTTCAAATGTGATGATGTATGTGAGAACACCATGTAAACTGCAAATTGCCAGTGAAATTGTAAAGAACTCTATTTGCAGAAAATAGGAAACTTAAATTTTTTCCCCCATAAAGGATTTTATACAAATTAGGACTTAGTAATTGTTTATCTACAGGGGTTGTGAGCAGTTAGAGATTACAAATAGTGACTCATTTTTAGGTTCTATTGTTGTTAAGCACCTGAGGCTTTAAAACCTAAATCAACAGCACAATGCAAACAAAATACAAAATAGTGGAAAATAGTAAGTTCTTACCAATGAGAAAGTATTCAAGTTTCAAGACATGGCCCATTTGTGCTTTGAATTTTTAGTGGAGATTCCAGAACTTGATCCCAGGGTTAGACTCATAAGAAAAATAAGGTTATAAGTGATCAGATAATCATATAAAGATATGATAGGGTTTAAAGTAACTTTTTTTTT